TTTTCTCTCTTGATTTTCGTACTCGCTCACACACGCTTGTTACACACATACACATTTTTATTCGTAGTTTCGTGTTTTTTTTTTCTTTTCGCCACAAATTGTCGTTCTGTTCTATATTCATTGTTTTTGTTACTCGCAACCCGACTGCAATAATTATTGCGGGTTACTATTCCAAGAAACATACAAGTTAAAAAGCGATCCAGCGACAATAAGACGCGAACAACGACTGATTATAATTTTAAAATAACCCGATAAATGTTGATTTGTAAAATTAATTAAGGAAAATCATATTTTTTAAATTCCACCTTGAATGAAACATAATGTAGAATGGAACGGTTTTACTTTTAAATTTGAAACTAATATTGCTTACTTTAACTGGCGAGAGTGGTCATCAGTGTTTTGGGGGCAACCTTTAAGTCAGTGGGAGGAACATGAGTAAGACTAAAAAAATTAATTCATTGTTCTCGTGGTGTGTGTGTGTGTGGGGGGTGTTTTCTGTAGATGACCCCTACTCTTGGCGATGGACCTGTATTCAATAACAACTGAAATAACGCGAATGCGCTGTTACAAATCTGTCAAAAATAAAGGAATCCTCAGAGTAAGATTATCATTATTTCATGGAATAGTTTTAAATGGTCGCTCAACAACTGAATTACGCAAAATAAATAAGTAAGTAAATAAATAACTAACTTTTTTTTTTTTTTGGCTAAAAAACAATGAAAAATATATTAACACAAACAAATTCGTGACTTTTTTTTTTTTTTTTACTTGCGTAGATATTGTCCGGTTTCGTTTACACCACTCCCCTGTCTTTTGAACAGGAGTAAGAGGTTTATCTCTTGTTTGTTGGTTGGGATTGTGTTTTTCCGGTTCTTTCATTCTCTTCCACTTCCAGTAGTAATCCCTCGTGTTTGTGGCTTTGTCGCCTTGCTTGGAGTGAATTGATTAAAATAATAATAAATAAAAAGATATATAGACTAGAAGATAAGAATAATGATGCTTGTCTTGTTCTCTTCAATTAAACAATCGTTTTAAATTAGTTGTAACTTGTAAAAAGTTTTTGTAACGTGATTCGATGTAAATACTTAGTGGTTTTCTTTTTTTTTATTTAAAAAAAAAAATAATTGTCTTCTGCAACCACTTTACTAGAATAAAAAAAATATATTAAAGGAAAACTAGAGTGGAGGGAGGCAAGGAAGAAAATGTCATATTTTGAGAACTACTTATTTCGTCGGAGTGATTTGTTTGTTACCAATGACGCGTCGACGCCTCCTGGCCAAGCCCTTCGTTAATTTCCGTCCTTCCCTTTCCCTACACCATAATCAACTGTAGAAAAAGCAGGAAGGCCAGTCAGTGAGCGAGTGTCAACTTTCTCAGTCACAACTACTTGTTCCAGTCTCCGCCGAGAAAAGAAGCGAAACACGCAAAACAGAAAGTTGTACGGAATGTCTGAACAGAGGATAATTCTTATTGCTGTCGACGGCAGTGACCAAGCTGAATATGCTTATAAATGTGAGTATGTGTTAGCTAAGCAGTTTTTGTTATTGTTAAATTTTGATTTTACTTAGTCACAAAGTTTTCTAAATTGGATAACATTTCGTTTAGGGTTGTTAGATGCATTTTTTCCCCTTCCCGGATACCTACTTTTGTTTTTATTTCCGTTATGTTTTGTGAACATTTTTAACCATTATTTTCGTCCTTTTAAAGTAAACTTTAAATAACATTGTTAAATTTAAGTGAAATCGTTTACCGAGAAAGGGGGGGGGTAGTCTTTCTTTATTTACTGGTTTGTATTTTTATCTTTTTTTTTTTTTTCTTTTCTTTACGTCTCTAAGAATTATTGAAATTAGGAAGCAACTCGTTCCTTTTAATAAAACCCAAGGAACGAAGGAATATTCCTCACCCCACGCGAGAATGTTTGAAATTTTTTAATCTCTAACCTATTCAGGTTTTTTTTTTTTTTTTTTAATTACTATCCAGTACATGATATATTATCGTATGAAGTAGTTACTAATTATTTGCTATGATTGCAGTAAACTTGGTATTATGGGAAAAAAATTCTAGTAGAACTGTCATTTCACTTTAAGTTTGAGAGAAAAGACCGAGAAATAAAGCGGAAGAAACTGCAAAAATAAATAAAATCGTATATTGAACAGCATTGTTAGTTTCAATCTGGAAATAAATTGATACTTGATATACCTGGTTAGGCAACAAGTCATTTTACATATGTGCAACTATAATTGAGCACCATTATCGCAATAGCCATCTCGTTCTGTGGAGTGGGGCGTTAACGAAATAACAATACCTCATTTTAAGAAATTTCGAAAATTTTGAAAACTATTAAATCTGATCTGGATGTATTTCTCTTGACATGTCAATAAAAACACTTTTTCTCAAATTCTTAAAACGACTTTTTAAAAATTATGTAAATGGGTGGGGTGTTCATTCTGTACTCCACTTTTTGTATTGTCCTCCTCCCTTGTGTGTGTGGGGGGGATTTTGTTTCCACTGATAAATCGGCGGGTTCTGGCTCTTAAGTTTTTAGAGATCTTGAATCTGTAACTAACCCGCTGCTACATGGTCTTATTTTCAATAATGTTTCGGCCCTACATCCTTTTTCTAGGTTGAATTTAGCTCAGTCAGGCACCAAGTTAAACGAGGAAATTAAACTGAAGGAAGATTATACTGCGTCAGTTTTCGGTAGAATCTGCTAGCCTTGAAATTCAATATTTTGATAACGTACCCATATAACAATCCGATCGGACCTCAAAGAAACAATTTTTTTTTTTTTTTTTTTTTTTTTTTTAAAGCAGTTTCAAAATTTCTGTATATAACGAAAGTAGAAAAATAACGGATAACAAATCTAATGCTTAGAAAAAAACTAAAATACTCATGCCCCAGCATAGGGACTTTGAGACATTCCTTTCAAAGGTTAAGGGAGGATGAAGAATAGTATCTAGTAAATATTACAATACAGGGTATTTTGAAATGAAACCCAAGAGCCTGTGAGTTTTTTCTCTTTTCTACCCCCACCTCCCTCTCGTGGCTAAACAAATAACGCTGACTAAGATCCTTTCCTTTTACTTGGCCAACTGTGTGATTCAGTGAATTTGTGAGAAGGCAAAGAAAAAAACTACTTGTGCTTTTTCTCTACATTCTCTGTTAATATTGCCTTGATAAATCCCACTTATTTTACTCTATCGCCTCCCTATTTATAAAATTAACTGGTAATATTAATTCCATATTTTTTGCCTTTATTCTCTTCCTTTTTGCATTAAATTCCTTATTCCATAACTTCTTAAACTAAAAAGATCGTCCGTATTTTTTCATTAGTTTTTTTCCTTATTGACTAGGAATAATTTAGGCATTATTTAAAACTGAGAATACTACTTTTAAACCCGCCACATTTGCTACGCTAAATCACCCACCCACCTCTTCCCCCCCCCCAAAAAAAAACAACGTTCGAGTTTTTAATGGTATAAATCTTTATTTCCGTCGCTTCGGAAACCGAAATTTTTTTTAATTTCTATATGGAGTTATATCATTATTTATAGTCGGAGCGTTGTCCTCATTATGACAACTTTTCGGCCGTTATGTCCTCCGGCATTCCTCAGACGTCTGTCAATCCGCCTAACGGGACTTCAAAATGAAACTTTATTTAATCTACAGGAGTAGTGTTTTGTTCTGGGTTTATTTTTTATTTTTATTTTTTTTCCACTGTCCATGTCAAGATGTCTTTCTTTTTTTTTCTTTTTTTTTAACCGCTCGTTTATTGCTAGCTCTGTTTACCTGGGATTGAATTAACAATTACTATTACCCAGATAGACCGACATCTGAAGAAGGTCGGTGGACACAACGACTGAAAGTGAGACCATGCGGTGTGATCGAAAGAAGCATCCACGCAGGATTCTGTTTCGCAAAGTTTTTTTTCTCAAGAACTGATACTATTTGAGTAGAACTTCCTTACATTTGGAAAAACTGCGAACATAATTCCAGGGAATCGAATCAACATTATCTCGACGTTTTACTAGTGAAAGTCTGTACTGGAGGAACTAAAGAATAGAACATTTGCCATATGAGGACGGAGTAGCAACAGACTTGCAACTGTGCTTCTGTAAGAAAGAGGTTGTAGAAGTGGGGAAGTTAAGTAATCTGAATCAACTCACTCCGTGTGAACGGTTTTGAACTTTATCAATGCTGGAAAGAGAAGATTGATCACCTCCAGATATGAATACAAGGCCGTTTTTAACTAGTAAAATACTGCATTTTTATTCTTTAAACATCTGTAAAAGCCTCTCTAGTATTTTTTCCCCGCTAAATGTATTTTCAATTATTTGGTGCACTCTGTATGTTACTTATTACAGGGCGGCGCACGGAATTGTTATGTTGGTCCTTTTGATTTTAGACATAAGTGCCAATCTATACACAAATGATCACGTTATTTTTGTCTTCTGTTGACGAATAGTATAATAATCTTATAAATTAATATTTTTCGTGAATTCAGATTAAGGACAACATGGGATTACTCGTGGGATTTTATAATATTTATTTTTCTTTGCGCCTGAATTCAAATCATATTGTTCAAAATGACAATCTGAGATTGCGCACAATAGCAACAAATAGGAAACGTTTATAAATTGTAAAACTAAAAGAAGCTTAGTAAAAGCGAAACATTTTAAATTTATAAACGTCTTCTATTTGTTCATTTTATCATTCAGTCGAGTTCTGATCATAGTTCATTTCAAGAATTATAACGAAACATTTCTAGAGTTTTCATTGAGGATATTGTCAGGGTTAAAATAACTCCTAATCGTATAATTAATTTTGGTCTTCTGCAGAGCCGCTTTACCATATGAATTCAATTGCTTGTGGGTGATAAACGATCTCTTCGTTTTATACGGCTTATCAGCGACTTGCAGGTTATTTAAAGCCAGGAAGTGTTTTTAGATTGTAGACTTAATTAGATGATTTAGTGATACATGTTTTACTAATTACACATTTACCACACCTGGTATTCCCAAGCGGTCACCCATCTAGGTACTGACAATGCTTGACGTTGCTTAACATCGGTGATTGTACTGGAACCGGTTTCAACGTAATATGGCCGTTAGCCTTATGAGTGACAACCTGAAAAGATATTTGTAATTGTTTTAAGTGACACTTTTTTCTGTATTTCTATTGTTTGAAGTGTAATGAGGAGGGACTCTTCCCGCCTTGATCGAAACTCCTGTGTTCTTGATGAGGTTGACCTGATTCTACTTACAACTTTTTAGTTTTACAAATAGAGAAAATCATTTTCCTTGAAGTCTAGTATAAAGAGATTCTATTTTTGCAAATTATTAAATGTAAGAAATGATCGGTTTTTCCTTTTGTGACAACTTTGTTTCCGGATGAGGAAAGAAACTGGAATGTTGCTAACAGTTCTTAAGTCTTACGCACCTTTTTAAAATATAAAAGGATATTTGGATTCAGAAATATTTCTACAAATCTCTTCTCTGGCTTTATACATAATTTACATTTTCATCAGTAAAATCGCTAACTTTGTGCCAAACAAGCTGGCCCGTCACTGTTTTGAGTCGAAGGGAGGCTTTAAGTCGCGGGGGAGGTGTAAGAATTTGCACACCAAAATTAGTAAGCATCACTTTCACTGTAATGAGTCCTGAGAAGGGGGGGAGCTGATGAAATATTTCAATTAAAATAATATTGAAAGCTCCAACTGACGCCACGAATAAAATTTGCCAATCCCACGAGAAGCACTAGTTAGGCTGGAAAGAATTCAGTCAAAAATCAGTGCGTTCGTGTTTAACATGCCTCGAAATCTCGCTTTCGCACACATTTTCCAACAATTGTCCAAGTTTTTGTATTTTTTTTATTTTTTGTAAACTTAAAGCAGCAAAGAAAGTTCACTTGTAAATTAGCCTCATAATCTGACTTGGACATTAAAGTCCACATTTAAGACGGTTTTGAATTCAAAAATTAAAGTTCAAGGCTGATCTATAACACTGTTTATGCTATCAAGAGAGAAAACTGACGATATTAATTACTAACCTTAACTTTGTTTTACAAAGTCCACAAGTCGGTGGCAGTCAATGAGGATCGAATTCAATAGCAATTATCAAACTCAATCACTACACATTACTCGATGCCGAGACGTCTCCAACTGATTACGTTATTCTGGCTAATTAATACATATAAACACATTTACGCACCTTTGTTTAAAAACCAACCAAAGTTTTTTTTTTTTTTTTTTTTTGCCGGATTTGAACATAAATGGTTCAATCTTTAACGCGCTTCTGATTTCCATAAGTCATTACGATGTTTTTTTTTTTTTTTTTTTTATGGGAGGTATTCAATTTCTTTGTATTGCGAGTGTCGCGTCTTCTCTGCTTATTTATTAGTTGCAAAATATATTTAATTTGTTCGTTCCTAAATTCAATAAAGTATTACTGATGCTTTTTTAAGTGCGTTAGATTCTTGCTTTGAATCTGATATGGCCAAAAATTATGGAAGTTTTCATAGTGTAGACAGAATATTTATTCTCGAGTTGAACAACCCCAATTTTTTTTTTTTCTTTTTTTTTTTAAACGAGAAAATCATCCTAATGTATTTCTAGATAAAGCCCCACCAAAAATATTTTGCAAACTTTGAAATAACGTAATCCATAAAATTCGTTCGAAACTTGATTTTATTTTAATATTTATTTTGAAACTTGCGTAAAAAGCTTTTTATTCTTTGTATATCTGTTCAGGGAGACACGGTGGAGTAATGGATAGCGGCTCGGATTGAGGAATCTGAGAGTCGAGTTCCAGTCGAATCCATTACATACATTTTAATTCCCTTGGAAAAGGTATGAATCCTCTTCTCCTCCCAGCTATGGGTAAATAAATCGATGGCATCTGGTCTACCGCAGAAAGAAATGGCAACTTACGGCGGGGAAAAAATCTGCCTCGTCAGTCATGTATTGAAAGATACATGATCACTTAAGCGTGTATCACGCATGGCACATAACTGACTGATATCTGTTCAACTGGGTTGTATGTTGCTTTTTGTGGTGGTGGTGGGTGTTAAACTTTTTGTATTTTTGTGAAACTGCTAAAACAATTGAATTAAGCGGAGCCTAAAATAGATTAGTAAACGAGAGAATACACATTTCTCCAGTTTATACAATAACAAAAGATGGACTCATTTGGATCCGACGATCCGTGATTTGCTCTGTGATCGGGTGGAAGAAATCCTAACCGCTCTTTTCATTTGACAACTTTAATATCAACCTTAAGGAAACCAGTTCATTCTGGCGTGAGATACAGCAATTACCGGTAACACAATGATAGGATAGAAGTGAAGCTCTTTCTTTCACTTTGCAAGAGGAGATGAGACTTGAAATAAATTGGTTATCCTTTCAAAAGTTCTCGTCTTAACAAGGTCACTTTGTGAAACTGGGACGATTAAATCGTGTCAGAATTTGAATGAATAGGAAAATTATCTAGAAACTAACGCGTATTTCCCAGTATCGAGAAATACTCTGGCCTCGATGACTGTTTTGATATGTAAAGTCGGAAGTAAACACTAAAATAAGAAGCAATGGGAAGAAAAAGAAAATCTGTAATTTTCTTTATGCACCTTGTCCCATCAGAACGTAAACGATCATGGCTTTTAAGTTTCTTTGTCCTTTGTAGCGCTTAATAAATCTCGTATTTTTCTTTCCGAAACCTTGCTAGGTCATATACATTTACACGAACTCGCCAGTTAAATTATGCGTTGTCCTGTCTCTCAATCTATTATGAGTATCAAATTTTCTAAGCCCTATTTCCTCAATATGTGCCCTAGAAATTCCAACTCTCTGTTAAATATAATTTTATTCTATTTTTTATTTATTTTATTTTATTTTTTTTTAATCTTTTTAAACTTCCGTCGTTGCTCAGATGTTCGGTCCATGGTGTTAGCATCCTTCTGTAGAACCACATTTCTGCTACTTAGAGTTTCTAATCTGAGGAGATTGCCCAGCATTCACTACTATATAGGATGACTGATGTTACATACCAGTACGTAGTGTAATTTTGCTTATATATATATATATATATTGATTTAAAATGTTTTTCCGCTACACAGTTCTAACCATGTTTCAAAAATGGAAGCTGAAATCTCCGAATTTAATTTTGTAATTAAATTAAAGACATTAGTTCTATTTCATCCTCAAGCGAATTTTGGAATAACTTTTAAAATTACTGGGTTTTAAAGATGCATCAAAAATCATAATTCACGTTTCCAAGGATACAGAAATCCAATTCAACCAGACAAGGGGTGTTTGGGTGTTCATTATCGCTGTATTTTGATGTATCAGTTATTAGTTACGTTTTGGTAGGGATGTATTTTTCAATTCACTGAAAAATACATCCCTACCCCTTGAATAGGATTTCTCTGTATCCTTGGACACGTGAATTATGATTTTTGCTGTGTCTTTAAAACCCAGTAATTTTAAAAGTTACTCCAAAATTCGCTTGAGGATGGAATGGAATTAATGTCTTTAATTTAATTACAAAATTAAATTCGGAGCTTTCAGCTGGTTAGAACTGTAGCGAAAAACATTTTAAATCAATTAATTTATAATATTAATGCTCTGTAAATTTACATTGAGCACTATTTTGTAAAAATAAAAATATCTACAAGAACACCGGATTATATACCTTACTGTTCTTTCTTTTTATTTATATATACATATGTATATACATATATTGCTTAACACCGCCACTTTAGCAATTTTATAGCCTTTTGAGAAAAGGACTGAGATAATACAAAGGGTGTTGAAAAATTTTTGCCTGGCTTCATTTCCCAAAATATGGCAAAACATCTCGTTCGTTCACTTTTGGTTTTGGCGTAACTTTCATGTAGCGGTAATACTCCTACTTCAAATTGTGTGGCAAAGTGTTCAGTTCACGTGATGTCCATATTATTTCGTCATTCTGTTTAATCACGTGTTGTTTGTAAAGTAGATATGTCTAAAAAATATTTTCAAAGAAGGCCAATTTCAGACAAGGGTAATTCTAATCATAATTTCAACTTTCAAAAGATTTTGTTCAGACAAACACGACAATAGAGTAAAAAAAAAAAAAAAAATCCTAAAGGAGGTTTCGAATAATTTGGAAATAGTATTGGGTCTGTGACACTATCAGTGTAGATTTTACAAGTGAAATCTACAATTAGTCACCGGTTCAAACCTGGCTGACCATCTAGAAAACTTGGATTTTTATAACACCAAAAATATTTTTTCTTTTTATTTGTATAAACTTTTTTCTCTTTAACTAAATTTTAAGGTAACCCACAAATGGCGAAAACTAAAGTTTACGTAAGGTCCAGTAATTGACTGACAGACGAAATCATATGATGGTATTTGCCCGTACTGGGATTTACTTAAGAAATTAAGATCTTTTTACCAAGAGCCATGTGCAAAATGGCTGATAAACTCGGTCTTCATTATGAATATGCAATTTAATTACTGCGCAATGTTTAGTATTTGTGTCCACAACAAAAACCTGTGTCAAAAGGACGGTTATTCCCTTGACGCCAAATATTTCTGTATACATTTTTGACTCTCTCGGCAATTTTTCTTTTTTTTTAAAAAGCTATTTAAATTAATAAAATCCAAACATGTGAAAATATTTATACATATTCTTTATTCTTGAGAATTAACAGATATTCAACACTATTTGATGGAATTAAAAAAACTTGTTTTCATAGTTATTTATAAAATGTTAAATAATAAATATTGCATTGTAGTTGGTAGACACTTTCATTTTATTTTTTTTATTTTTATTTTTTTTTTTTAAATATCCTTTTTCTAAAGGGGTAACTCACTCAATTATTACTGTCTTTATAATCTTGCAAATAAACATTTACCGAGGGAGTCAGGACATTTAACTGGTCGTATCTTATGTAACAAGGATTGTTTTACGCTGATAGCTCCTGTGAAAGGTACTGGGACCTTTACCAATAGACAAGGAAGCTAAATCTGGATGCCAATGATAGGGATTTACGAATCGCCAATTTCTTATCTGAAACCCCAATCACTGAGAGGGATCTTCAATAGAGGAACCACCAATTTCCTTCAACTA